GTACACGATTTTGAGCAAGAGAGTCCTGTTATAGACCTTTCTAAGAAAATCACTTTGTGGGACTAATATATCCACTAAAAATAAATTTAAACCAACCATCCTTTCAAATATTCTAGGATTTRAAAAGAAATAAATAGAGTAGGATGCCACGAGTGTGTCTGGATTTTGACCATTTTCCGGAAACATTGGAAATTTAGCGTGAAAGATGTACATCAATATATGGTACTGCTGGGCTGCCTGTGTATATTTTTTGCAATTTTGGGAGCCCTGTGGCGTTTTGAAACAAAATGGCGGAAGACGAAACCTGAATGGCTATACTCGGTCCTACTCGGTGTATTTTTCGCTCAAGTTGTCTTCTTTCTTCTGATGGAGCGAGTAAATGACATTAACAGGATTGCTAAAGCTTTAGAGGAATCAAGGTCGAAACTTAATCTTCATTTATCGACATTGGGTTGGAAAGAAGGCCTGTTTACGGTCAGTACTTTTTTCAATCTTAACTTAACCTTAACTTAACTACTTAAGCTTACTTTAAGCGGTATGTGAATTGTTTCCTCAAACTGATAATCTGTTACATTAGGAAGAAAAATGTGTGAAGTGTTCAGTGAACAAGCAGCATTCATTACCAGCTTCATCCTATGGTCAACACGTCTATAAATGTAAACTGAAAAGTGAAGGAATCGACCCCAAGGTACATGTATTGCTTGCACTATATAAAACCTACCAGAGGTTGGAATTTACCATTTCTAATAGTTTATTTACGCTGCCAAGTGCTGTAAAATTATGAGGTCATAADGAAGAAACGGTATTAAACTAGCATGAGTATTACAGACTATGAAATTAATGTTCTTGCTGATTGGGCCGTTTAAATTAGGGCAATTAGATTAGATTAGTGATTGTCCGAATCAGTGGATGAGCTGTCAACACTGTCAATCAGTGTCAACTGGTTGATTTTTAATCCYTTTCTCCACAAAAGTCAAGAAAGAATATATAAACTGAACTCTAGTTTATTGTGTTGCTCTATTCATGCCATGTCAATAAGTGGAATGCAAAGCTATGTTAACACGATGACGATTCCTTAATGACAGCTGAGCAACAGGGATGGGCAATCCTATGTTTCTAATTTTAACTGGCCTAAAGTATTCATAGTCAGATGTTAGCATTGAAGTGAGATTTGCTATCTGTGCCACCAGAAGGTAGATTACTGTTTTTGGCTTATGGCTTCAAAATAAACTACAGAAAACGGTAAATTGTACACTCTGGTACCCAGGTATGTTGTAGTGTAATACACATCAATCATTTAACATCAATAATTGTGATCTGACTTATGAYCTTGTTATAAGTAATTGTTAGTTGAAAGGACAAAACTAAAATACTTAAATGACACATGTATATTTTAATTATTAATTTTTCCTTTGTAGGATGTCTGTCCAAGCTCACACTTTTTYTATAAAAATTCATTGGCTGTTGTCCCTGTTATTATAGGTATAAAGTGTRATTGTTYGTATGAAAAAGCAACAGAACAGCTGTCACTSACAATCSTCTTGATTAAACAAGCTTTTATAAAAAACAAACATTGCAACAAACATTGCAATAAAATTCATCTTATTTCACCACTGTTTYCTCACAAAAATATGGTAATTAAACCGGCCTGTTATCTTCAGCAAGTTTTTAAAATCACGATATCCCCCAAAGCCATATTGTGATAC